CTGATGACGGAGCAGCCTAGTCCCAGGATGCACCTTTCTCAAGGCAGTGTCGTCGGGTGGCTGAGTGAGGCAGGGATGGAGACAGCTAGCCATCTCAGCCCCTCCTGGGGCCACTCTGATGGGCAGGAGCCACTCCGGGGCTCTGGGGGGCCTGCCCTGCAGCCCAGCTCTCCCTCTGCCCACGTCTGCCTCCTCCCCTTGCCACTCACAGCAGAGGACCCCTATAGAGGTCATGTACCCAAACTCCATCTCAGCATCTGCTTCTGAAAAACCCAGTCTGCAGTTGTCTAGATTTGATAATGCCTCCTCTTGATCTGCACTATTGCGTTAAAGAGGGTGGTAGAGTAGATAGATAGAGATGATAGAGAAGATAGATAATTTCCCTGTCACAAGTGAGGACAGCAAGGCTCTAGGAGGTTTGGTAACTTGCCCATGGGTCACATACTGGCAGAACTGGGGTTGAACTCATCCGATCCAGCACCAGTATATGCTACCGCCAAGGGCTTGCAGATGAGAAGACCCTCCAGATTAATGCTCATGACCTACAGTGAACCAGAGGGCTTCCCACAGGTGGGAAGGTGTGTTAACCACAGGTGTGTTAACCAGGTGGCTTAACACACAATGAAGCCCACTAGGGCTTCCCAGGCGCTAGTGCTAAAGACCCTGCCTGCCAATGTAGGAGGACTTAAGAGACGAAGGTTTGATCCCTGGGTGGGGAAGATCTCCTGGAGGAGGGCATGACAACCCACTCCAGTATTCTTGCCTGGAGAATCCCATGGACAGAGGAGCCTAGTGGGCCACAGTCCACAGGGTCGCAAGGAGTCAGGACTGAAGCAACTTAGCACGCACACTCTCACAGTGCACCAGACGGTCTGGGAAGGAGTGAGGCCCCTCTAAAGAAAGAGCAGAGGTGGGGGAAAACTCCAGACTCAACAGGGTTTCTTAGACGGTCCCCTACACCCAAAGCACTCCTCCCACCTGGCCCACGGCTAACTACAGTCCCTAAATTGGAGAGAAAAAATGAATACATAAGAGAAGAGCACTGAATTTGCATGATATATGTGTGTGGCTAGGGCTGCAGGCCCCCAGGCACCCCTTCCTGTGTGCCTTTCTGTCATTTTCTGCTTTGCCTCCTATTCCTATCCTGTCCTCAAGAGAAGTGAGCTGACAAATGAACTCCTTCAGAATGACATGCAAACAATGTGGGTACATTTTGCAGGATAAATCAGGGAGCGGAGAGGGCCTAATCCAAGCGCAGGGACTCCAGCTTGGGAAGATATTTTAAAGCAAGAGGATCGTGAGATTTGCTTTCACTTAATAGGTTTGCATTTGCAAGTCCAACACTTCTACAGCTGTTTATTTCTTCCTTCTTATGTTGCCCATAATTGAGATAAGGTAGATAATGGTCCTTTAGTAATTGTCTGGTGGTAAAAATCACTCTTCTTTACCCGGGCCTGGTTAACATAGATATTTTCTAAAAGCCAAAATAGAATAATTCATTAAGCTGCATCATCAAATACTAGCCTCTAAAACATAACACACAATTAATGGGAGATTTTTGTCATAAAAATAAATAAAATCATTTGAAATCTAATTTTATTAGCCCTTTTGGTAATTCTTAACCTAAGCATAACTTCCCTTGGGCTGGATGACTGTCACCCCAACTCTGTCACCCTAAACCCTGTGACAATGCTCAAACAGACATCTGAGTTTCATCACCCTTGATGTTGGCAAGTCTCTGAATCCAGTGAAGGCATCCAGAATATGCCACCCCCCAAATATGCCAACATAAAGATTGTTTTGAGCTAAAGGCAATTGAGAGTTATTAGATGCAGGAAGAGTTTTCTGCCTTCCTCTTAACCACTTACAAGCAGAGCACATATTTCCCTCTGTGAAGATATTCCCCTTCCCATCCCAAACCAGGAAGGGAAGAGCATTCTTATCACACTGAGAAGAGTTTGCAGAAACGGACCTTACTAAGTAACCTGGGTCTTCCATTAGTTCCCCCGCTATGTTTCCCAGTCGCTTCCCCATGAGCCGCGTCCCTTGAAGCCCAAACCCACTTTCCTTTGTTAAAATGGCATATAAGCTCCCTAGTCTCACTATGTCTTTGAGTTTCACTTCTTTTCTTGAACTTATGTACAAATAAAATATTCATAAGATTGTACTATTCTCTCCTGCCATTTGGTCTTTTGTTAGTTTAATTTGCATACTCCAGATACTGAACTTAAGAGGGTAGGGGAAAGTCTTTCCTCCCCAACACCAGCTACAACCTTGTATTCCAAGCCAGAGAGGCTTTTGATTACTATTGAGTTTCCCTATCATGAGGCTCAAGGTTCATTTTACTGAACAGTACAAACTCCTTGTTCTCTGCTCTGAAGGGAAACATTTTCTGGATAACCTGGCTACTGAAAGGGCAAATTTGCAATCCCCTGGGACTACACTTCTCTAGGAGTGGAAACCTTGGAGACACATGAAGAAAGGACAAGCCTAGAAGTCAAAAGATTTGGGATTTTTGCTAACTCTGCTCTATGACCTTGGCAATAACCAACCTGGGGCTCAATTTCCTTACAGAGGGGATGCAGGAAAGGGAGAAGATGGAGTTGATTCTAACCCCAATTCTTCTGCTTATGTTCAGAGTCACCTTGAGCCAGCCCCTCACCTCTCCAAGTTTTAGACTAAGAGAAAGGGAAGGTGCCTAGATCAGTGCTTCCCAAAGTGTGGTCCTCCAGTCCGACATGACTGGGAATTTATTAGGAAGGCAGACACATGGGCCATGTGTCAGAACTACTAAATGGCCAAAACTACTAAATCAGAGTCTCTAGGATGCAGCCCAGAAATCTATTCTAACAGAATTTCCAGATGATTCTCCTGCAAATATGAGAACCACTGGCCTAAATAATCTGTCTCTTCCAGATTAAAAACCTCAAACTCGAGTCAGACAGAGAAAGACAAATATTATATATCACTTACATGTGAAATCTAGAAAATATGACAAGTGAAAGAATATAACAAAAAAAGAAAGCATACTCACAGAAATAAGGAACAAACTAGGGACACCAGTGTAAGGAGGAAAGGGGAAATATATCCTGGAAGATGTATTGTACAACATGGGGAATATAACCAATATTTTGTAATAATTGTAAATGGAAAGCAAACTTTAAAAATTGTATAAAAAAATTAAAAAAAATTTTAAGTGTTTAAATAATCTGGGGGAGGATAAATACCTCAAATTCTTTTGCCCCAACCTTAGGGTATCTCTTTCTCTCAAAAAAAAACAAAAAACAAAAAAAAATGAAAAAATGAACACCTGCTCCAAACTTCTCTCCTCTATGCAGATGACTAACTTCAAGGGACTTAAAATAAAATTTGCATTCAGTCGTTTCCATAGCAACCTTAACAAAAACATTATGATGCTTTTGTTCTTTAATACATCTGCTCCTTTCTTTTACAGAAACTTGTGTTCCTTTTCCAGTTATAAAGCCAATCTTATCTAAGGATAGCTCTTAAAAACATTTCAGTAGTACATAATTACAGTCCCAGCCAGCAGTGCAAAGAAAGTCATTTAAATCCTACCACTGCATTGATCCTCTATGCCAGCTCTTCTGAAAGCCAGCTCCCAGGATGGAACACACTCTATAAACTTCTAAATCCAGATGAGAGAGTCTGTCTCCGTAAGTAGGACTCCATACACCTTTATTGATTTCACACTCCACCTATTGGCCCTACTTGCAGAAATAGCTGCCAACTCTAATTGGTGAGCCATCTTGTCCCACCCTCAGATCACGATGTTCTGGTGAGCTGAGTACACATCTAGCTCCAGGTTTGGCCAGTAAAAGCCTTCATTACCCTGGGCACTCTCAGTGATTCAGAGATGGGCACGTGACCCATGAAAGCCAAAGAGACGTTGACTAAAACTTCAGGGATAGAAATGTGTGATATTCTTCACTAGACCAGAAGCTGAAATGATGACGCTGTTAATTCCATGAAGGGAAACTTGCCTGAGGAAGTAGAGCTGAGAGGCCAGGAGAGAAAAACTAGTGCCAGATGACATCATTTCTGAGCCCATATATTTTTGCTAACTCTGCTCTATGACCTTGGCAATAACCAACCTGGGGCTCAATTTCCTTACAGAGGGGATGCAGGAAAGGGAGAAGATGGAGTTGATTCTAACCCCAATTCTTCTGCTTATGTTCAGAGTCACCTTGAGCCAGCCCCTCACCTCTCCAAGTTTTAGACTAAGAGAAAGGGAAGGTGCCTAGATCAGTGCTTCCCAAAGTGTGGTCCTCCAGTCCGACATGACTGGGAATTTATTAGGAAGGCAGACACATGGGCCATGTGTCAGAACTACTAAATGGCCAAAACTACTAAATCAGAGTCTCTAGGATGCAGCCCAGAAATCTATTCTAACAGAATTTCCAGATGATTCTCCTGCAAATATGAGAACCACTGGCCTAAATAATCTGTCTCTTCCAGATTAAAAACCTCAAACTCGAGTCAGACAGAGAAAGACAAATATTATATATCACTTACATGTGAAATCTAGAAAATATGACAAGTGAAAGAATATAACAAAAAAAGAAAGCATACTCACAGAAATAAGGAACAAACTAGGGACACCAGTGTAAGGAGGAAAGGGGAAATATATCCTGGAAGATGTATTGTACAACATGGGGAATATAACCAATATTTTGTAATAATTGTAAATGGAAAGCAAACTTTAAAAATTGTATAAAAAAATTAAAAAAAATTTTAAGTGTTTAAATAATCTGGGGGAGGATAAATACCTCAAATTCTTTTGCCCCAACCTTAGGGTATCTCTTTCTCTCAAAAAAAAACAAAAAACAAAAAAAAATGAAAAAATGAACACCTGCTCCAAACTTCTCTCCTCTATGCAGATGACTAACTTCAAGGGACTTAAAATAAAATTTGCATTCAGTCGTTTCCATAGCAACCTTAACAAAAACATTATGATGCTTTTGTTCTTTAATACATCTGCTCCTTTCTTTTACAGAAACTTGTGTTCCTTTTCCAGTTATAAAGCCAATCTTATCTAAGGATAGCTCTTAAAAACATTTCAGTAGTACATAATTACAGTCCCAGCCAGCAGTGCAAAGAAAGTCATTTAAATCCTACCACTGCATTGATCCTCTATGCCAGCTCTTCTGAAAGCCAGCTCCCAGGATGGAACACACTCTATAAACTTCTAAATCCAGATGAGAGAGTCTGTCTCCGTAAGTAGGACTCCATACACCTTTATTGATTTCACACTCCACCTATTGGCCCTACTTGCAGAAATAGCTGCCAACTCTAATTGGTGAGCCATCTTGTCCCACCCTCAGATCACGATGTTCTGGTGAGCTGAGTACACATCCAGCTCCAGGTTTGGCCAGTAAAAGCCTTCATTACCCTGGGCACTCTCAGTGATTCAGAGATGGGCACGTGACCCATGAAAGCCAAAGAGACGTTGACTAAAACTTCAGGGATAGAAATGTGTGATATTCTTCACTAGACCAGAAGCTGAAATGATGACGCTGTTAATTCCATGAAGGGAAACTTGCCTGAGGAAGTAGAGCTGAGAGGCCAGGAGAGAAAAACTAGTGCCAGATGACATCATTTCTGAGCCCATATTGAACCATGCCCGAAACCAGATTTCCTCTCGACCTTTGGTACAAGGTCCATTAAATTTTCTTTCTCCACTTTGGATTGACTTTTCTATCACATGACACCAAAACTATCTTAATGGGTAACAGCATATATCATTACAGCTTTTGTTAGGTAACTTGTCAATATCTATTAAACATTTTTTCTGTGCAATAACTTTTATTCTAGCAAGTCTAATTCCAGAAATATCAGAAATGCTCTCACAAGTATGAAAATGTGTATATGTATAATCCTGAAGTCCATTGAAGCACTGTCACAGCAAAGAGTTGGAAACAGCCTGCTGTCATTCAATAGAAACCCACCTTATTTTAGGCATTTATGATGTTAATGAAGACTAAAACAACCCTGATGATAGGATCAAGGACTCTTGGAGTTAGAAGGCATCTTAAATCGTGTATTCCACATCCATCTCCTGAGAGACGCAAATTCTGAAGCCCACAGAGGTAAAGTGACTTGGCTAGTGTCACTCAAGCTGAAGTATTGACGCTTCATTGAGCACCGAAGAATTGATGTTTTCAAACTGTGGTACTGGAGAAGACTCTTGAGAGTCCCTTGGACAGCAAGGAGACCAAACCAGTCAATCATAAAGGAAATCAACCCTGAATATTCATTGGAAGGACTGAAGCTGAAGTGCCAATATTTTGGCCACTGATGCAAAGAGCCGATTCATTGGAAAAGACCCTGAGGCTGGGAAAAACTGAAGGCAGGAGGAGAAGGGGAAACAGAGGATGAGATGCTAGATGGCATCACTGACTCAGTGGACGTGAGTCTGAGCAAACTCCAGGAGATAGTGAAGGACAGGGAGGCCTGGCGTGCTGCAGTCCATGGGGTCACGAAGAATCAGACACAACTGAGTGACTGAACAACAAAGTGTCACTTGAGCTAATTCTTCAAAGAGCCAGGACAGGACCCTTTATCTTCTGGCAGCCATTCATCGTCTATGTCACACTGGGTCTGAAATGCTAACCATGCTGGTCATTGTTAGACAATGGCTGGTGTCTGGCTTTTCACTGTAAAATCAATACCCCCAAATGCAAAAGTTAAATCAACATTACACTCAGTATCAGTGATAACAGATTAAGCTGCTTCAAGCTAGGAAAAATAGCTTGTTCCCTAAAGGCAACTTTTCTTTCCCTCTCTTCCCCTTCACTTTTCCCAAAACTCATGCTGATCCTGGATACCACAGTAGAAATGGCAGTTCAGAAAACTGTGGCAACTCAATGTCAATCCAAGCAAAGCCCTATTCTCAGTCACAGTAATAAAAGGGGTTGAGAATGTTGAGCATTCGAGTCACAAAAGATATGATTTCTGCCTGAGATTGTCCGATAACAGAAATGAATGATGGTTCTTTGCCTGAAAATACATATTGATTGTTGGCTGTGATTTTCACCATGGATAATGCGCAAGTCACCATCCTTCAAATGTGTGTGAGTGGACGATTCTGTTGCCTATTCCTCGCAGGATGATTTGCAGCAAGAGACGAGACAAGGCAGGAGAAATTTCTACGTCCAGGTCAGGCTGGACGCTCTGCAGTCAATTTTCCATCCTGGATTGTTTGACCTTCCCTTTGAAGGTCCCGATTTATCACAGGCAAAGGGCAGATTGATTGTCTGCATCTGACCAAGATAAAGGTGTCCTCTTGCTCTTTAATCTTGTGTAGAACGGAGTTCCTCGGAAGTCACCCCATATTCCAGGCCCAGCCACCATTTAACAACTTAAATCTCTGATGTCCTGACCCACTGCAGGTTGTGCACAGTTTCTGCTTGACTGAGAATGGGGCCAAATGGAAGACAATATATACCACGTGTCAATCACCTCCCCCTTCCCCAGGCCAGACCAAACTTCATCCTTGCTGCTCAAATGCACCAATCGTTTTTATCAGTTTCTGATGAATTAAGAATTACTGGCTAATTTGGCTACCAGAATAATTGTAAATGCTGCAGAAGGTAGTTAGGCCCACAGCAGATGAGAATGGTCTGTCTGTCTGAGCATCAGCCCCATTCTGTTCACAATCCCAGGACATCGGAGTCCAGTGAGCTAAGGGATTTTAAGAATGAAGTTCCTCACAGGATAGAGTTCAAGGGCTCCTAATGTTTACCCTTAAAACCCTTCCCCGGCAGCCTATTGGACCTAAAATTTTACCATTAATAATGTGTTTCATTATACTTCAGTCAAACTGGGTTTCCTCAATGGTCACTGTGAAATTCTAGTACCACTGGGAGGGCTGAATATCACCTTAGCAGAGATGTCCTCTAAATAGGCATTGAGAACAGGGCTTAATGAGAATATGAAACATCCCGACCGGGGACAGACACGAGAACAGGAAGACTCTCAGAAAAAGAAATGCAGAAAGACACTGCAGATACCTACTTCCCAGGCTCAGTGCAAGTAAAACACCAATCCAGTTCATAAAGAAAATCAGTCCCAGTAAGAGGTTCTGTGGACAGAAGTAAAATGCCACAGGACACTGCTGGAGCCTCACTAAGTCTGCGAAGAGGTTTTTCATGCCTTCGCAGTCTTGCAGCTCATTTCATTGGGTGCTTCCAGGTACCTAATGAAGGAGACAGGACCAGGAGCAGACAAACTTGAAGTATGGAGGATAGGAAGAGGAGAAACATACCATACCAGTCAACAACTTCCAGTGTCGGTGAAAGCATGTTTAATGCTTTATATAGTCAGCAAGACAAATCAGTTGACGTCACTTTCTTTTTTTAAAGTGTAAAATACTATTGTTAGAGCAGCGTGCACACACACAAAAATAAGTCCCTTTAGATATACCAGTGCTTTATCATCATTGTCAGCTGTCTAACTCATGACTTCATCTTTCTCTTTCCCCCAAGAGCAGAGTCGGTTCCCCCAACTCAACTGAGACTTAGATGGAGGGAGTATTCGAGGCCTCTTTATCATCTCTTTTCAGCAGGGTCTCTATGACAGAAACTACTCTACACTAAATGGATCCAATAATTGCCCTAAGCTTCAAAATTCACTGTTTCTTTTCTTTTGGTGCCAAATTTGTAGGCACTTCCATCCCACCTACTTCATATATTTTACTTCTTCAGCTTCTATTACTAATCAGTTCTGCAGCCTCACATTTTCTCAGTCAGTGCAACATAACTCTAGAGCCCAGCCTTCTCAGAAAAGGAGGGAGGGAGAGGGGAAACCTGTGGTTACTGACACATTTATACTTTTGGTGTCAACAATTCTATCATATCTGTTTTTTTCTAAATTTTTCTTTTTTTTTTTTAATTTTTATTAGTTGGAGGCTAATTACTTTACATCATTGCAGTNCACCAACAGTGTAAGAGGGTTCCCTTTTCTCCACACCCTCTCCAGCATTTATTGCTTGTAGACTTTTGGATAGCAGCCATCCTGACTGGCGTATAATGGTACCTCATTGCAGTTTTGATTTGCATTTCTCTGATAATGAGTAAATTTTTCAATAAACATATTTCTTTTTTTCCAATAAAGCATACAGCATCTTTAAAATGTACAGTGGTGCCAAGATTTTAGAATTTTACAGACAAGTACAATTTTAATGAAAATCCTGAGAACTAACACAGGGTTAATAATTTTATATTTAGCCTCCCAAAAGATTTATTTAATCTGCTACCCTCATTATTTCATAAAAGGAAGAATTTTTTTAACGACCATATAAGTATGGTAGACATCCCATGATGAAAAAAAAAAAACGGTTTGTATTATTAATTAATTTGGCTTTGCAAAAACTCGCTACAGGGTGATTTATGTTTTCTCTCACCGCTTGCCATGTAGTATGGACTTTGTTTGTGTCCAGGGCTGCTCTGAGCACTGGGATTTGGGGACCACCTGCTGAGAAGTGGTGGAAACTACAAGAATGGAGTTGGTGCAGACCAGAGAATATAGAGAAAGAGATGAAGATTAGGAACCACCAGATAATGACCAAACAGAGCAACTTCAGGGTAGGAGGAGAAAGCTGGCTGTGGGTCTTCCAGCACCCACTTCAACCCAGAGAGACCTTACTCTCACTCTACACATGTGAGGATTCCACCTAGTCAGGCTAGTCGAGGACAGATGGGTTCTCTGGTCTGGTGAATGGTTCATGCCAATTCTTTAAATATTGAGTAGAAGTATATTGTCAGAGTAAAAAGAAATGAACTGACTTCTGTTGATAAAAGTTATTTATGTTTTTATGTTCTGAACAACAGATACTTATCATTAACATAATACTTCAACTTATTTGCAGTTGTCTTTCCTTTCACTGATTTTCCATTATTCCTAATTGCTAAGTATTGTGCCCTCAGACCCAGCCCCTCAGACTCACTGGGATAAAAGCAGCTTATGTGGCTTTTTCAGAGAGCTTTTATCCTGTTTTGTTTTGTCATTCTGTTAACAAAATGTTCTATTTTTCTGAAATGTTTGTTTCTTATTTAGGATGCAAATCTGGATGTAGCCAAGTCAGTCATATTTTAGGAGACATTCAAGGGCTTAAAATTCATGTGATAAAATAAAGCATTTGTCCTCAGTAAACAGGACTCAGAGACGTGTTGTTGAGTTTCAGAATTCTGGCCGGTTGCTGGCTGGCTAGCCAGGCTTGGTGGGGGCCGAGTGAATTTCATGTGTGCTGAAGTCACAAAAACAAAATTGGCCATCACCATCCAAGAGTGTTTGTGCTTTTGTTTTTGTTTCCACATGAAGGCCTCTACTTCACTAGGATTAGGAACAATGAACATTTTGAAGCTTCTGAAGATAACAGCAAGTGGAAATCTGAGTTTAAAAGTACCCTATTTCTGATTTATTCCAGAATCCATTATAGTTGCCTCCCTAGGAAGTAGCTCAGCTGACCTGCTCCCTAATCCAGCTCTATAAAATTCACATGAATAAAGGGTTTGACTTTTAAGTAAAGTCTAACAACCACAAAAGCATAGGCGTGCACATCAGAGTACACCAGAGGATGACAGTACGTGGTTGTAAAATGAAGAGTATTTTTTAAGTCTCACAGAGTTATTGACTACCAACCTCTGTGTCTCTGATGAGAACCTCATCCAGCCCAAGCTGATAGCAATTGCTTTCCCTCTGAGGTCAGCTTTGATTACTGCCAGGTGTAGAAGGGAAAGAGGAAATAAGGGAAGACACCAGGCGATGGCTGACAGCATATCCTCTCTCTTTCCCAGGGAAGTGAAGAGAAATGAGACTCTTCTGCCTACCTCCACCTTCCCTGCCTTGTTGCGGCCAAAGTAGCCCCTGTGGAAAATATATGCAGAAGCAGCAGTTTCTTCCCTTCCCTCAAAAATCTGCACCTTTGTTTGTGCTGATGCAGACAGATCATCTGATGTGCAAAGACGATCCCACCCAGAAGTAAGTATCAAGCCCAAATTCCTCTCCAACATCTTGAGGAGCAGCCTGGCTCCATCGCCCCCGCCTCCCCACTGGCAGCATAGCCCTGTGGATAGAAGATCTAGGTGGGTAGGACTTGGCACTCACTGGAGCTGCCCTCTGAAACTCATCCAATAATCCACTCCCCTGGATGCAGGAGGTATGGAGATAATGACTATTTCCTGAATATCGTGCTGTTTAAACAGCCCCACTGCAGTGTTTGGAGAAATTCAGGATGTTTTTGCATCCCAGGTGCAGCTGGAGCTGCCCAGCTAAGCTAAACACAGCGCACAGGCTTTGAGAACAGGTGGTGGCTGGCCAGATTGCTGGCAGTCAGGATGGCGGTGGTTGTTTCTCTTGTTCCAGCAGTTGGCAGAGGAAGGCGTGCTTCAGTACAATCAGTAGCTTTCCACTCTCAAAAAGGAATGTTCTCCCTGACACTAGAGCATGAAGACACGCTCTACCCTGCTCAAAAGCCCTTTCAGAGACAGAGCGAAGTCCAAAACTGCAGACTGCCATCCAGAATCTTCCTCCATTCATCCCGACTCCTAGTCAAAGCATTTTGGCTTGCAGAATGGGAGGCCCATTCCAGCTAGCTCAAGAGAGGGTGTGTGAGTGTGTGTGTGTGTGAGTGTGTGTTTGTGTGTATGTGTTAACTACTTTCCTGCTTGTGGCCATGGGCTCTCTGCCCACTTGCTTCTGTCACCTTCTTGGAAAGGCCTTCCTTGACCCCCGCATATAGTTATCTCTATCTCACCCAATTATACCCCATCAGATGACCCTGTTTTATCATTCCATTTCCTTTATCACTGCAATGTAGCAAATGTTGTGTCCCCTCCCCCACACACAACTCATGTGTTGAAACTGAATTCCCACTGTGATGTTACTTAGGGCGGGGCCTTTGGTAATTGGACCATGAGGGTGGAGCCCTCATGAATGGGATGAGTGCCCTTAGAAGACAAGGCCGAAGAGATCCATAGCCCTCTTTTCACCATGTGAGGGTATAGCTAAAAGACAGCTGCCTGCAAACCAAGAAGCAGGTCCTCACCAGAACCTACCACTCTGGCACTCTAATCTCAGACTCCCAGCCTCTGGAACTCAGAAAAACAAGGTCCTGTTGTTTATAAGCCACTCAGTCTATGGTACTTGGTTATAGCCACCCACAATGAGTAGGACAACGACCACTGACATTTTCTTATTTGGCTGTTTCCCCACTTTAAAGTAAGCGTGATGAGGACAGGACTTTCTCGTGTGCACTGCTGTAGCCTTAGGCCCTAAAACAGCATGCGGGGGTGGCCCTCTGTAAACACACGGTCTTTCATACCCTGCCCTCTGCTGTGAAATCTCTGTGGTCATTGGTTCAAATTCCCAAGAGAGATCATCCACTTGGTGCTCTAGCCAACCAATGGACTTGTGCCTTTAATTCTGACGTCTGCCCTTGGTCCAATCAGCCAGGTCATGGAGGAGGGGTCAGAGACAGTCCTTCCCAAGAGAATGGGAGGCGCTGGGTCTCTAGAGGGATCTCTGGATGGAGAAGATACTGAAACCTGTCTCAGAGGGGGCTGGACACTTTGCAGTTACCTCCTACTACACACACATGTACACAAGTGTGTGTGCAACCCATTCTCCATCCCATTCACATGGGCCTTGCACCATGCAGACACCTGGCTCAAACTACACACTCAAAAATTTTTGTTAAAAAGCAATTTTTGTTTGGTCACTCTATATCCCCTACTTCCAGATCTTGCCTCAATCTTGGAGAGGGCACAGGTTCCTAAGAGGCTGCTGGAGATCGCTGCAGCAGCTCACAGGGCAAGGACAGAGGCAGCGACTGCTGCTGCTGTTTAGTCACTAAGCTGTGGCCAGCTCTTTACAAACCCAAGCTGCAGCCCACCAGGCTCCTCTGTCCATGGGATTTCCCAGGCAAGAATACTGGAGTGGGTTGCCATGCCCCGCTCCAAAGGATCTTCGAGGGTGACAGATAAATTGTGCATTTAACAACCAGGATAAGCCCAGCCTTTACCCAAATGCAGGTGTCATTAGACCACTCCCCTGAGACCAGTGATGAATGTCACCTTGAGTACTTTTGAAAGCTACCCAAGTCCAGACCGCAATCTAGAGATTGTGACTTAACTGCTCTGAGGTAGGGCGTGGTCATGGAGAAGCACTGGCCTGAATCCGTGTCAAAACACCTATCATAAGAGAAAGACACGGGCTTTGCTTCCAAAGCATGAATTCCAACTCCACCATCTACCAGCTTTGCCATCTTTGGCAAGTCACTTAGAATCTCCAAGCCCATGGCTGATTCATGTCAATGTATGACAAAACCCACTACAATACTATAAAGTAATTAGCCTCCAACTAATAAAAATAAATGAAAAAAAAAAATCTCCAAGCCTCCACACTGGTGAGATGGTGCTAATAGGTCCTGTCTAGTATGATTATTGTAAGGATTAAAGAAAATACGTTCAAAATTCCTAGGGCATGATGGACCCTTCACGAAATGGTGGGTATAAATATTATTAATGCCTCCCCCAATCCGTTGCAGATTGATATTTAACACTGTATGGTTTAAACATGTCAGGCAATGTTACCTACATGACAAAATACTAGTGCCTTAAAGGCAGTTTTGTTTCTGTGTAGCCCACCTCAGCCCAGGCATATAGGAAAACTGTTTGTAAGGCTAAATGCACACTTTTCTGAAAATTAACATTGTCCAGAATCTGCCTTTTCATTGAGGTGATATGCCCTTAATAAATAACAATTGTGTCAGCAACTCCAGACCAGGGCACAGCTATTCTGCCACAAAGCAACTGATGCAGCTGTCAGGGACTGCTCTTGAATAAGAGTGCTGTGCCCACAGAAAGCGACAGGCTATGGGAACGTACCGTGAGCCTAGACCAGGCTCCTACTGCATTTAACAGGCACATTTGTGTATGACGGGAAATCCATTGCCATGAATCAAAGGTAAGGAGAAATAGCCTTCTTCTTTTTTCACCAGCAAAATAACAATATTCAGTTCCCAAGTTCCATTCAACAAATGCGTCCTGGCTTCTTCACTGTGCTTGATCCTCTTCCCACCTCAAACTGGCGCTAAACCTAAAACACAATTGTGTGAACTGAGACCTGCAAATTCCAGCCTGACTTTGGACAACTTTGTGTGTAAAATAAATATGTTGTCATTATAGTCTGAACCACCAAAGAGAATATTTTAATCAGGATAATTATTTGTGGACTTCATTTAGACTTGTGGAAATAATGAGCCTGAACTCCCAATCTATTTTTTTTTTTCACTTATCTATGTATTGCTTATACAGTGAGGCTTGTGGTTTGTAGAATCTTAGTTCCCCAACCAGGGGTTGAACTTTGGCAGTGAAAGCACAGGGTCCTAACCACTGGACCACAAGGAAATTCCCTATACTCCCACTTTCTCTTTTTTTAATTATGAAAATATGATAATACATTTACAAGAGACTTGGAAAATAGAGAACAAGGTTACATATAGTTCCATTATATAGGACAATTATTTTTAAGTAGATAAATTAAGATTTTTAGTTGGAGTTTCACTATCAAACTCTCAAAAGTTAGCAGAATGAATATACAGAGAAGTAGAAGGATATGTGGGCTTCTCAGGCAGCACTAGTGATAAAGAACCTACCTGCCAATGCAGGAGACATAAAGATGCAGTTTCAGTCTTTGGGTCAGAAAGATCCCCTGGAGGAGGGCATGGCAACCCACTCCAGTATTCTTGCCTGGAGAATTCCGTGGACAGAGGAGCCTGGCGGGCTACAGTCCATAGAGTCGCAAAGAGTCGGACATGGCTGAAGAGCTTGAGCATGCACACACAGAAGGATATAGTAAATTTGAAAAGCACTATGAACCAATTCAACATAATTAAGATTTATACAGTTTTCACACAACAGTAGTATACAAGTTCTAGTCAAGTTCCCATAGACTATAAACTAGGAGACACTTGTATCCAGGGATATAAGACCAGGTGCAAAAATGTGATGGACTAAAGGTATCATAGACACCCATTTTAAAATGCAAGATGTGGGACTCAATGTGAGACTCAATCGATTAAGTTAAGACAAACTATTGCAAAAGGCAAGCAAAAAAAAAATCTATGATAACACAAATTAGGACCCCAATCAGACCCTAACCCATCAATTGACCAATTGATTTTTCTCAACTGTGGACATTAGCCAGTGCTTGGTAATTATCATCGATAGTAGACTCAACAAACTGCAGCCCGTGAGTCAAACCCCAGACTCACCACCTGTTTCTGTAAACAAGGTTTTATTGGAACACAGCCATATTCATTTGTTTACCTATCATCTCTGGCGGCATTCATGGCACAACAACAGATCTGTATAGTTTCAAGATCATACCGCCCACAAAGTTGAAAGCGTTTCCCGTGGGCGTGCGTGCTAAGGCGCTTCAGTTGCGTCTGACTCTTTGCCACCCTATGGACGGGAGCCTGCCACGCTCCTCTGCCCACAGAGATGCTCCAGGCAAGAATACTGAAGTGGGCTACCATGCCCTCCTCCAGGGAATCTTCCTGCCTCCGGGATCAAACCTGCATCTCTCACCTCTCCTGTTCTAGCTGGTGGGTTCTTTACCACTAGTGCCACCTGGGAAACCTGATTTCCTATGCAGCCCTTAACCAAAAAGTTTACCAAGCCTGCTCTTCACAAGCATGGCATAATGTCATTTCCCCACACAAAATACTTAGGTTAGACATATCTTAAGTAAATATCTTAAGTAAAAATATATTAAAATATGTGTTTGAAGATTTATGCTTTATATGGAGTACATCAAATAGCAATAATGTATTTATTTGTTACATATTAGCTGAGAAAAATTACTAAGTAAAACTACCTTATACCACTAAGTATTTTTATATAGGTAGGAGTTATGATAACAGTAAAGTTTTCATTTCAGTCTTTATTAGTAATTACTAAGTGGTTAATTGTTTTCACCTATCAAGGCAACTTGGAAAAGAAATATAGTTCATATTATTTCTGTCTTAGTTTTTCCACAGATTAAATGTAAGGAAATGGAACTGGTATGTTTAATTCAACTCAGCACTTTCTAACAGGGATGAAATAGTGTCAATTATATGCACTGCAGTTGTTTTAAAGCAAGCTGAAACATAAAATACACTCAATTTAATTAAAGCATAAAAATAAAATGAGGTATCAATAGAAAAAGAGTGAGAACAGCAGTATTGGTATGGTAATCTTATTTATGCATCTGGATTTACTGCATCCAAAACTGTGTGGGTTTTAAACAGTCATTAATGGGAATCTGGCTAAAATAGAGCAACAAAGAAGGGGGAAAAACAATTTAAATGAGCAACATTTTTCTTTTTTGCATTTAGCCATCTTCTAAAGAAGGGGCTATTAAAATTTTAAATCAGTTTTTAATCAAAGTTTAGTGGTACAATATTTAATTGAAAACAACACCAGATGTTCTTGATCAAAACATCTTTCATAATGGCTAAATCAAGGTCTGAGAAGTTATTTGATGAGATAATTATCAGTCTGTGAATACAGCAGCAATTTCTTTTTTCCCTCTAACACTAAAAACACACAGGTTTGAAGGTTAGCCCTGGTTCTGTTGACTGCTATCTGCTTCTCATGGCTCTTCCTGTGTGGTCCAAACCAAGATAGGCGCTTGGAACATCAAATCTGAAAGTCCAAAACCAACAGATGAGTCCCAGGAATCAGTGCCCTGGGAGACTGGCACCCTCTTTGAACCACAGGAAAAATTCCATTGATAAGACAGAGCACAAGCAACAAGCTGCAAAGTTCACAGGTACATAAAAGTAATAAAGGGAAACCACAGAAGCCTGGCTTCAGTGAAGAGCTAATTTGAGAAAACAATACTTGATTACTGTTATAGGCAGAATTCTAAACTGACCATCCAAGATTTCCCACCTAAATCTCCAGGACTGTAAATATAATAAGATATCATGTCCCTGATTATATTATCTGGCAAGAGATTTTACAGATATAATTTAATTATTTCCAAACAATTGGCTTTGAGTTCATCAAAAAGAGACTGTTCAGATGAGCCTAGTGCAAACACATGAGCCCTTTAAAGGCAGAGAGTATTCTGTAATTGGTGGCAGAAGAAAAAGTCAGAGAGATTTGAAGTACTAGAGGGATTTGACAAGTACTGGCTTTGAAGATGGAAAAAGCCACAGGCAAGGACCAGACAGCTGACCACCCAACAACCAGCAAGAAAGTGGGGACTTTAGTCCTGCAACCGCAGGAACTAGATTCTGCCAACAACCTGAATGATCTTGGATTCTTGCCCCAAATTCTCCAGACAAGAACCCAAATCAACCCACACTTTCTTCTCAGCCTAGGCAGAGAATCCAACCAATCATGCAAGCTGCTAAACTTGTGTTTTTTGTTAAGCAGCAATAGAAAGCTAATACAACCACCACCCCCTCCATTATTCAGGACAGAATAACAGGACATTTCCAAAGTATCTCCTAGCTTTTCTTATCAAGGTTCTGCTTCATCACATTCCTAAGGCACCACCCCCACAACACTCACTATAGAATTAACAATGTTCCTCTCTCTGGAAGAGAAGATGGAACTAGAATCTACGAATATTAAGCAAGTTGATCTCAGATATGCAATCACCTTTTCCAGAAAGGCAAATAGTGCAGCAGGTGGAACATGCAATGCTTCTGTGATTCCTGGGAGACATCTGTCCACAAAAGCTGTGTCTGTTTACTGTTCAGTGCTGCTACAGAGCGGAGGTGGACTTATCTATGAAGGGGCTTTCAATGAACTAATTAAATTCACATTGGATGTTGACCCTAATCATCACTTCTGCCACACAGGAGACAATAAAAGGGATATAAACAGCCCCGCCCCAACCCCTTTGAATCAGCCTCTGTTTGTGAGCAGAACTCTTCTGTGTCCACTCTGCCCTTAAAAGTGAAAGACTAGAGCTATTTAGCCTTGTGGGGAAAAAAAGGTATCTCACCAGCAGGGGGCTGAAATCGGTGTGGGGAATATTCAAATATCACTTCCTACTCTTTGAGATAAAGAATTAAAGAGCAATAGGAAAGCCCTTTGATGCCTTGTAACCTCACCCTTTTTGTTTATTTTAAAAGCATGAGGAAGGAGGATCCACAAACTTCAGTAGGTCCTAAAGCAGCAACCCTGAAACTGAAGAACTCCTTGGGCTTGGAAGAAGTAGTGTTTTTCAAGAAATGCAGACTATTCTCCAGAGGACTTTCCATCAGCAATGGCTCAGAGATCCAGCCTGTAAGTCTTGCAAGTCAGGCTAGGAAGACCAGCCCTGACACAATTAAGTTTTCATCTTGTCCCAGGCACCATTTTATCAGCGTTCATGTAAGGTTGTGTTTTTCTCTTGGCTTGTTGTTTTGTTTTGTTTTTTAATGGGGAGGTCCTTGTAAAACTTAAAACATCTTCAAACTTCAGTCTCAAACCTCAGGTATCACTAATATCCTAAATGTGGCTTGCAAAGCCATTTAGCCCTAGGAGCTACCAACAGAGCTACCCACCCACCCTCCTCAGTACCCCGAGTCCCTCCAAAAAACACAGGAGGAGTCAAATGCAGAAGCAAAGAAATTGGAAAATAAAGCTGCAGTCACATAACTCCCCCCCAGCCTAGTGAGAGGAAAAGGTCCAGCAATATTTTATTCCATCAATTTTGACAAAATCATTGATTTAGTAACCCTTTGAAAACAGAAAGGAATGTGCAGGAAGTGATTGAAAAATAACATTTATTGGTGGTTAATTAGATCCCAAGTACTATTCTAAGGGTTCTATGTGTATTAGTTCACTTGACGTCGCTACAACCTCATGAAGTAAGCGCTGCTCTTATCCTCACGTTATAGATGAAAAATCTGAAGCACAGAGAGATTAAGTTACTTACTCAAGATCATACAGTTAGAAACGACTGGAACCTGGACTAAGGGAAGAAAGGAACCCCTTCAGACACACACACACACACATACACACACAGTCTGAAGAATGTATGGTGACTGAGATGTCTTTGACAACACAGAGCTCACCAGTGGAAGGTATATAGAGAACCCATTCATTCCTGCATTCACTCACACATGCATGCCTGCTCCTATGGGCTGACTGCTGGAGCATTAGCAGTGAATCAGTTTTTAAAGCCATTCATCATCCTTGAGATTGCACAGTCTGTTGGTTGGATACAGGGCAATGAAGCTAAGGGGTAGACTATGCCCAGGAGAAGCCACTCCACCAGATCTGAGGGTTAGAGGATGTTCTTCCCATGGAGAGCAATATCTGAGCTCAGACCCAAGGGAGAAGCAAGGAAGCTCTGGGGGATCAGAGCAGAATGCCTTAACCCTTTGAGAATGGTTCTCACACACCCACCCACCCACCCCAGGCCNTCCAAAAGAAAAGAAGACTCTGACAGGCAAATTCCAGTCAGAGTTTATTTTTCCTCTTACCCTAAAAGCCCACATGGAAAGAGAAAATCCTTGGTAAAGGCAGGATGGGTGGAATGGGAAAGCCTGGAAGCTGGGATGAGATGTGCTTACTGACAGGAAGGAAGCCCCTGGGGGCAAACCAGCTCAGAGGATGTGGGGGGACACAGCCTGAGGTGTAGACATGTGCATAGAGAATTTGATACACACAGCTGACAAGCAGCTCAGGTGAGCACGCAGAAGGAAGGGACTGCACGTGTGGGGGGGAAGCACAGACAGACCTGCCCACACGCGTGGGGGTTCAGACACGGCTGGGGCTCAGAAGTACCACTCCCTGAAGGGGAGCAGGCAAAGGAGGCAGACAGAGAAAGCATGGTGGTGGGAAGGAGAGGAATGCTCAGTTTCTGCAGGGAACAACAGAAAGCAGAAATAGCACATGAGAAGTCTAGAGAAGATGGTATGGCCAAGAAACCGGAAGCGTTTCGGTTTGGCAAATCAGGGAGGTCAAAGGAGGAGGGTGGAGGGATGCAACTGGAGGACAGGTTTTAAGTAACTTGTAAATAAAACTCTCAGGAAATTCCCTGGTGGTTCCGTGGTCAGGACTCCACACTTCCACACTACAGAGGGTAAGGGTTCAATCCTTGCTGGGAGAAGAAAGAAAGAAAATTATAAGAAGTATTGCATTTTTTCTATCAACTGGGGGTGGTAAATCAACAGTATTTATTTGAGAATAAAACCTCGACAAAGCAGAGCTGCCTCAAGAGAACCCAGGTAAAGAATTTCATATGCTCTAAATGGTTGGTGCAGCTATGGCTGAGAAGTGCTCTCATTCAGCCCCCAAAGAGCTCTTCTTGCGAATGCTAGTGCAAGAGAATCATATTAAGAATGTGACCCATGGGGCTTTCCTGGTGGCTCACTGGTAAAGAATCCACCTACCAATGAAGGAGAAACAGGTTCCATCCCTGATCCAGGAAGATTCCACACGCCAAAGAGCGACTAAGCCTGTGCGCCTCGCCACAACTACTAAGCCTGTGCTCTAGAGACTGTCAGCTGCATCTACTGAACCCACGAGCCGCAACCATGAAGCCCAAGAGCCCCAGACCCCGCGCTCTGCAACAAGAGAAGGCGTCACAACGAGACGCCCACACAGCAACGAAGACCCAGCAAGACCATAAATAGTGTAAAAAAAAGAATGTGACCCAAAAAGATTTAGCAAGATGGTTTCTGAGAGGCACACGAAGTGGGAAGGTGTCACTTTCCCACAGCCAGTCAATTTCCTGGGTTCTGGAGGGTCCATCACCTCAGTGCCGCGGCTAAAGAGACGGAAGGCTTTCCCACACCTGCGCCATCGCCCCCACAAAGCCGCTCCTGCCTCTCACTGCACACCCAGGACAACTCAGCGGCTCTTATTTCCCACCCCCGAGGCGGGTCAGCCCCCCTCTAGAGCTCCCTGCTCGGTGCTAACCTGCCAGGTGGACTCCTGAGATCAAGGACCACACCCAGCGACCTCACTGAGGGCCAAGGAGTTCCTTTCTCTTAAAGTCATTTCCTCTCTCCCCTCTCTTGCCTATCTCATCCCCAAATTACTTTTTCTGCAGTAAGAAGATCACTCGGAAACCTCCCCCACCCCTGAAAGCTTTGAATTTTAAGCCAACCCACCAGTGTACCTCATGGGCTTTCAGGATAGTTTCGAGCAAAAAATTTTCACCTTTGAACCTTGGAGAAAACTTTTTTCTCAAGAGGGCATCAGGAATATACTCAAATGATCTGAGATAATTCCACTCAACAAGAATCAAAAAGAAGAAGGTCTTATACTTTTCCAGGATTCCCTCTGTTCTGGTGCATCACCATGTCTCTTGAAAAGCAAGCATTTATATTAAACTATGAGAAGGTACTAATGAGGGAAGTGGCTAGGCATGAAGGGATTTGAATTTGAAATTTGATAGTTATGGAGTTTGAAGATACTAGAATTAGCTTGTTATTCCCCTAAGAGGCAGACATCCCAGTGAGGGAGCTCCATGACAGGAATATAATAAAGCAACATCATGTCCTTTGGGTAATCAGCTTTTCAAAAAGTCAATCTTTAGCATCACTGAAAGGAATGTTGCTATTCTAATCCCTTAACAAGCTTAGGAAAAAACCAGCATCAGTGAAAGAAAATGTGTTACTCAACTTCTTAACATTGTAGCTGATGATCTGTTCAGAAGGGAAGGGATCCAGGCACTCAGGATAAACATCCTCACAAATTTTCAAAGACACCCATGTAACCCCTTCATAAGCACAGTTGTACTCATAGTGAAGTTTGTGACTGAACACTTGTCCCCTGAAAATGATTTTTCCCTCCTGGTTTCACGTTCTCCCACACTACTTACCTTGAGGAGCCATTTTTTATTTGTCTACTTTTTTATTCTTCTACTTTGCCAAGGTGAATTATGGAATCAGGGAACTGGAAGATTAATGTGAGGGCACTGCATCATTTACCACCAAATGATCATATCATTTCCCCCACAACAAAAAAGGATGGAGCCTAATTATGGAATAACCCAAAGAGATTTCTTCCTACTTGTTGTCACAAAAAGCAATGCTGTCTAATTTATTTTATACAGGAATGTAAATGTAAGAGTCTGTGTCAAAGTTAAGGTGTAAAATAATGAATTTTAAGCTGGGAAATGAAACTCCTAGAGGTCTCAGATCCTCACGTGATAATATCTACTACAGTAAGCCAGTAAATGAAGCTCCAGAACTTAAACCTACATTTTCTTTGCAACTCTGTATATTTGGAAGTTAGCTTATTATTCAGTGACTTTCTTAAATCTCGAAAGACTGTCAATAACAGAGCAGAATACAAACAAGACCATCTTCCTCGATGATCTTTTAGAGGTCTCGGTTATCTCTGTGCCCCTGATGACCTACGATCAGGGCTAACAGCACACCCGCGTCAGCTCGCTTTCAATGACCTCCAGAGAAGTCCTCCAAGTTCTGTCTCTAATATTGAATTTTATAGGCTACTAACACCTTTTCAATTATATCATTAGCTATTTCCCTGCATAGCAATAGGTCTTTTAAGAGGTCAGATATAGAAAGCTGATAAGAAATGAGTTTCTGTCCTTTATAAAACAACAAGATTTTATCATTGAGAGACTTCACATACAGAGAGAACAAACTTCAAGGGCTGACTCTTAGTCAGGGCCCTGAAGCATCCCTAGAGCAATGTGATACAATTATTAGAGAACTTCTCTTGCTTCCCTTTCTGGAACTGTACAAAAAGGACAGACCTGGTTTTGTAAAGAATTAGCATGGCCAGAAACTTCCCTGAGAATCTGCTTTGCGATGCAGGGGATGCAGATTCGATCCCTGGTTGGGGAACTAAGATCCCACAAGCCTCAGTGCAACCAAGCCGGTGGACTACGACTGCTGAGCCCACTCACCACGACTAGAGTCCGTGCACTTCAAAGAAAGACCCACTAAGCCTCCATACGACCAAATCAATTAAATAATTTTAAAAAGAATCAGCATGTCCAAAATCAACAGCCTCTAGAGAGTCCTCCAAGTTCTGTATCTAATACTGAATTTTATAGGCTGTTCAGTACAGTTCAGTCAGTCATGTCTGACTCTTTGTGACCCCATGGACTGCAGCATGCCAGGTTTTCCAGTCCATCACCAATTCCTGAAGTTAACTCAAACTCATGTCCATTGAGTTGGTGGTGCCATCCAACCATCTCATCCTCTGTCATCCCCTTCTCCTCCCGCCTTCAATCTTTCCCAGCATCAGGCTCTTTTCCAATAAGTCAGTTATTTGCATCAGATGGCCAGAGTATTGGAGCTTCAGCTTCATATAGGCTATTAACACCTATAAATAGCTATCTCCTTCCCCCAACACAAACCTGCTTCTGCAGCAGCTATCATCTCATCTTCCATGCAAGAAATGTCGAAGTTTCTCTTGAGTTGCTTCCCAGTCACATGCTTCCTGAGGCCTGATAGACTCTACCTCTTAAAGACCCCTCAACCATCCCTTCCTCTCTACTTAGGAGGACCATATGTTCCTGGTGTCCAGGACAATCTTGATTTATGCCTGTTGTCCAGTGTAATTATGAACAGTGCCCTCCTCGTGCTCACAAATGTGTCCAGGAAGGATAAGAAATGATATGGTCCATGCCCTGCAGTCCCACGGCCACGACTTGCTCCAAGCTCTCATTGATTTCTGCCTGGATGGCAGTAGTAGTTGGCAGTAGTGGGTGGTTGCGACTATCCAACTGATCCTCCCTTTCATCCATTTACTTTCCAAGCTTTTTAATCGAGTGCCAATTCTGAACCAGACAGTGTTGGCACCAGAGCAAACTTCCCTCTAAGGCTTTGCACACTACATAAGGGTGCCCAGCCCAGGGAACAAGTGAGGCTAAAGTTCAGCCTTCCCTCCACCTGCCAGCCCATGCACCTTGGTGGGGCTAGGTCCTCTTCTCAGGAGAAAGATGTTCCTTGTTCTTGGTGCCAGCTGCTTACCAATCTTGTACCCTCAGTGCTGCATCTGCTCATCTGGGTGCTGCTTTCTAATTCACAGGAAGCCACTGCATAGGCCTCAGGGGGCCTCTGCACTGTGGCCATTACATTCCCTCTTCAAGTCCATCTCCATCTCAATCCATTTCCCTCCTCTGTATTGACCTTCCTACATTGCAAACCTGATCTTGCCTCTTCCCTGCATTCTTCAGCAGCTCACTGTCACCTAGAAGTTGCAATTCAAAGTCCTGGGCATGATCTACAAAGTCCTAGGTCATCTGACATCTCCCCTCTTTCCAGACTCATTTCCCCCCATTTCTCCCAACACACACCTTCCTTCGGCTGTACTGGACATGTTCTGGTTGCTGGAATGTACCAAAATGGATTCCACCACCTTCATTCCTTTTCATGTGCTGTTTATCTGGGCTAGGATGGTCACCCATATCCCACCCCATCACCTGAAAATCTTACTGATGATGATGAAGAAGGAGGAAGGAGAGGGGAAAAAGTGAGATGATAAAGATGATAGATAATTACTATAACAGACTGTTGAATGGAACAACTTTTCTCTTGCCTGAAAATGACACTGGGTTCCATAACCCAAAACAATGTGTCCCCACATTCTGAAAACGGGCCACCAAGAACTGGAGCAGACTCTTCCTCAAATTTTTCCTAAATAGCCCTACTCCAATCAACCCCAGCAGCACACTAGCCCCCACTCTATATAAGGAGGTTGGTTGGGGAGTAAAAGCCTACTGGAGGATGCAAGGGGCTTCTCCTCCTCTCCCATGCCTCTCCCCCTCCCCACTCCCCCACCCAAAGAAGCCAAGTAAGGGGAGTGGGAAGCCAATGTATTTGTGATGATTGTCATGCAGGGAGACAAACATTCCATTTTCCAATTAGACATTTGGTGAGAAGGATGGGCACAGAGAAACACAGCAGGGTAGGCTGCATGGCCCCATGGGTTTTCTACAAATGCCACTGAAGTTTGCTGGCCAGAGAAGTCTCAAAGATGCCCCACCAAGAGGGATGCTTGCCAGGTACGAGAACCCGTCAGTGAAGGGTGTTAGAGTGTACTGTGGACTGGGGCTAAAGATCAGCTGGTAAAGAATCTGCCTGCAACGCAGGAAACCCCGGTTCAGTTCCTGGGTCAGGAAGTTCCCCTGGAGAAGGTGTAGGCCCCCCACTTCAGTATTCTTGGGCTTTTCTGGTGACTCAGATGGTAAAGAATCTGCCTGCAGTGTGGAAGACCTGGGTTCGATCCCTGGGTGGGGAAGATCCCTTGAGGGACAGCATGGCAACCCACTCCAGTATCCTTGCCTGGAGAATTCCCATTGACAGAGGAGCCTGGTGGGCTACAGCTCATGGGGTCACAAAGAGTCGGACACGAATAAGCGACTAAGCATACATGGATTGGGATGGAGAAAGTTTTGCTGAAGTTGGATAGAAGAGAAGGAGCTAAAAGCTCATGTGTCATTGCCTTTCATCCAAAGACCACCAGGAAAATACCTGTAGTCAAGTAAGGTGGGTTTATTACTCATTGTAGCAAGAGAGAATGGACTCCATACAGAACTGCTGGGAGTCCCAGTAAGAGGGAGTTAGAAAGAACTATTATGGGATTTGGGGTTGGTTGGGAAAGGTTCAAAGAAGCCAGAGCTTGGCCTAGATAGAAAGAATTCAGTGACTGAGCATCTCAATACATCATATCTATAAGGAAGGAAGACAAGCAATATAAAGTTATAATTGGTAAAGTAGCAGTCTTGCTCAGTGAAGAGATGAAGGTTCTTAGTATTTTATGGGTGGCAACTCATCTGAAGTGGGGAAGATCTTACCCTTGTGACTCTCAGAGGAAACCAACCCCGCTGGCACCTTGATTTTGGACTGCCAGCTTCCAGAACTGTGAGAAAATCAGCCTCTGTGCTACAAACCACCCAGTCTGTGGTCTTGTGTTATGGTAGCCACAGCAAACTAACACAGGCCTATAACAAGTAAAGAGACAGAAATAATAACCAAACACTTCCAATGCAGAAAAAGCCCAGGCCCAGACGGCTTCACTGAATTTTCAGTTCAGTCGCTCAGTCGTGTACGACTCTTTGCAACCCCATGGACTGCAGCACACCAGGCCTCCCTGTCCATCTCCAACTCCCAGCGTTTACTCAAACTCATGTCCATTGAGTCAGTGATGCCATCCAACCATCTCATCCTCTGTCATCCCCTTCTCACCCACCTTCAATCTTTCCCAGCATCAGGGTCTTTTCAAATGAGCCAGCTCTTCGCATGAGATGGCCAAAGTATTGGAGTTTCAGCTTCAGCATCAGTCCTTCCAGTGACCATTCAGGACTGATTTCCTTTAGGACAGAATGGTTGGATCTCCTTACAGTCCAAAGGACTCTCAAGGGTCTTCTCCAACACCACAGTTCAAAAGCATCAATTCTTCAGCACTCAGCTTTCTTTATAGTCCAACTCTCACATCCATACATGACTATTGGAAAAACCATTGCCTTGACTAGATGGACCTTTGTTGGCAAAGTAATGTCTCTGCTTTTTAATATGCTGTCTAGGTTGGTCATAACTTTTCTTCCAAGGAGTAAGCGTCTTTTAATTTCATGGCTGCAATCACCATCTGCAGTGATTTTGGAGCCCAGAAAAATATGAAGCCTGACACTGTTTCCACTGTTTCCCCATCTATTTGCCATAAGGTGATGGGACCAGATGCCATGATCATAGTTTTCTGAATGTTGAGCTTTAAGCCAACTTTTTCACTCTCCTCTTTCACTTTCATCAAGAGGCTGTTTAGTTCTTCTTCACTTTCTGCCATAAGGGTGATATCATCTGCATATCTGAGGTGATTGATATTTCTCCCAGCAATCTTGATTCCGGCTTGTGCTTCCTCCAGCCCAGCGTTTCTCCTGATGTACTCTGCATATAAGTTACATAAGCAGGGTGACAATATACAGCCTTGACGTACTCCTTTTCCTATTTGGAACCAGTCTGTTGTTCCATGTCCAGTTCTAACTGTTGCTTCCTGACCTGCATACAGATTTCTCAAGAGACAGGTCAGGTTGTCTGGTATTCCCATCTCTTTCAGAATTTTCCACAGTTTATTGTGATCCAGTCAAAGCCTTTGGCATTGTCAATAAAGCAGAAATAGATGTTTTTCTGAAACTCTCTTGCTTTTTCAATGATCCAGCAGATGTTGGCAATTTGATCTCTGGTTCCTCTGCCTTTTCTAAAGCCAGCCTGAACATTTGGAAGTTCACAGTTCACGTATCATTGAAGCCTGTCTTGGAGAATTTTGAGCATTACTTTACTAGCGTATGAGGTGAGTGTAATTGTGCCATAGTTTGAGCATTCTTTGGCATTGTCTTTCTTTGGGAAGTTTTTCACTGAATTATACTAACCATTTAAAGAAGATTTGTGCCAATTCTCCAGAAACCTCCAAAACAAGCAGAAGATAAAGAAATACTTTCTGATTCATCCTACAAAACCACTATTACCGTGATATCAAAACCAAAGACATCACACACAAAGAAAATTACAATCCAATATCATTCAGATGCAAAAATCCTCAGGAAAATATTAGCAAATCCCATCTAGAAACATATTTTTAAAAAGGGGGGAGCTATATATCATGGCCAAGTGAAATTTATTCCAGGAAGGCAATTTTGGTTTAACATCCAAAAATCAATTAATGTAAAACATTATAGTGTAGAATAAAATACATCTTTATTGATCATTTCAATAGATGCAAAAAAGGCATTTGACAAAATGCAATACCTCTTCATGATAAAAGCACTCCACACATTGGAAATAGAAGGCAATTTCCTCAATGTAACAAGAACATCTATGAAAAACCCACAGCTAACATCTTACTTAATGGCAAAAGACTGAAAGCGTTCCCTCTGAGATCAGGAACTAGGCAAGGATGCTTGCTCTCACCACTTCTATTATATAACATTATATATAATATATATATGTATATTATATATATAATGTAATGCTAGAGGTTCTAACCAGGGCAATTAGGCAGGAAAAAGCATCCAGATAAAACAGGAAGAAGGAAAATTCTTCTGTTTGCAGAGAACATATCTCACCTACATATCTAGGCTTTTCGTCTCACCAGAGCTGAAGCTGAATGGGAAACAGTATCAAGTTTCTTTGCAAAGACTCCCCTTTCCTGCCTTTTCTCCTTCTGAATAACCACAGCGCTCTATTTTTCAGGTCCTCCAGATTGGTGTCATCACACAGAGCCAAGGCACCCCCTTCAGTGATAAACACCAGGCTTGCTCTTCCACATGCTGGGCAATGAGGTCCCCCCATCAAAGAGACACTCCTATGCCACGCGTTTGTGTTCTCACTGCTGACTCCACTCAGGGTGTGAAAAACCCTGTGAGCTACAGCCCTCAGTGGTGCAGCTGCTGTCCCCGACTCCCCAAACCCTCCCTACACAAAACCTCATTCAGCCTGAGGGCTTCCTCTGGTCCCAGAGCTCACCCTGCCCAGAGCCGGCTGGATAATCAATCACCGTTCCTGGCTGTCCTCCCCCCTGCTCACCTCCTCCTGCCTCTGTCCCCTCCCCTCAGCTGATGCATCCTGGCCCCAGGTAAACCACTTGCACAGCAACCCTTGTCTCAGGTTCTGGAGATCTGAAAACTGCAATAGTCACAGCGGGTCATGAAATCAACTTAGTGGACCTTGACCAGGGAATTCATAAAATTGAAATGGAACAGGCAGTATCAGAGTGCCCTGTCTGCATCTGGCTCAATTTGGGACAGTAGACTGGGTCATGTAAACTCTATAACTGGGAGACAAAGGTAAGAACACGTACGAAAAATCTGCTCTAAAGACTTTTCATTGTTTTATAAACAATTTTCTTGTCAACATAGACCTTTAAAAGAAAAAAGTGCCACTTTTCTAGAATATGCTAAGGAGAGGCCAGAGAATAAGAGCTAAGTTTTCCCGATAGGAGGGTGCTTGATATTTTATTCTCTGAATTTTGTGACTAATTTTCAAAATATTATACAATAATTATCCCAGGAAGACTCTGGTGAGAGTGACATCTAGAGACTGCTGGTGGTATGGTGAACCGCACACTTTTGAGTTAGCAATCCTATAAAGCCTTGGACTTACGCTAAGAAAAAAGAATTCAAAGAATTCAAATGCAATGCGTAGAATGACACACGGCAGTGCTGTAAGTTTCATAAACATGAAAACAAAAGTCTGCTTAATAAGAGGGATTTATGGAGCCCTTTCTCTTGGANATGTCCCGATACCATAGACTCTCCCGTCCACAAAGCCCACCCGGCACATACTAACAACTGTCAAATCGATTCACAAAAGCTGCCCCCACTCTTTGGGGAGCCCAGAAATACATTTTCGCTTCATTCTTTCTTGGCTTGAGTGTCTTGATAGCGATGAAGGCAAGAGATAGGGGAAAGGAGTTTGACGACGAAATACAGAATAAGGCCTTTCAGAGAGAAGTTGTCTCGTGTATGATGAACTAGATTGTAAGAATTTTAAAAATTAGATTTCATGGTTTCTCAGTGTTAAGGGAAATAATTCACTTACTGGACGTTACAGATTCTCAAACAGTAATTTAAACTATCTAGTTATTTGTGGGTTTAAAAAAAAAACCTCTTTAAAGATGTCGTATATATTGTGAACCTTATGACTATTTTGTTTTTCTTTCTTCTTCCTTCTTTCTTTCTCTCTCTCTCTCTCTCTCTTTTTTTTTTAATAATTTGTCCCCAGGATGCACTTTTCAGCAGGAATGCCTTTGAGGTTATATTTGGTCGTTTATTTTATTCCAGACAAGTCCAAGCTTGCCATAAATGAAAGGGGAAAATAAAGAGAGTCTGGACTTGCAAAATAAAAGGAGGGGGCTTTTAATTCTCATGTCTGAAATAACATTTTCCATAGAAAGCAGTTTCAGGGGAAAGTTAGAAATCCAACCTTGGCAGCCCCATTCCTGGTCCCAGCCAAGGCAGAGAAAGGGAGAGAGGAGGCAGTTCTCCTGAAATGACAGAAGCAGTTGCTCCTTTAATTCAGCTCAGACTTTCTCCAAGCTCCCCAAGCAGTTATTTTGTTAGAGTTTTTCCCAGAAGTCCAAATGGCAAGTAGGTCATCTGTCGCTGTTTGAAAGCCTTAAGTAGTGTAACCAACGTTAACTATGTATATTATCATCACCTTAAACTTAGAAAAACCGCCATGCAAAGTAATCCACATGCTCTTCCAACAGAAACAGGCATTTATTCCTTTGGATCTAACTTATCAGTCATACCATGAAAAAAGAAATGCGCGTAGTTGAAGAACTCATTCCAAATATTGACATTTTTCTTACACATTCCAAGGGGAATTTTTCCCCACAGCCTCCGAATCAATGGAATTTGCCTTATCAGAGCAGAAGGTTAGCTAGAAGATTATTTAAGTATTATGGTCACTTCTAGCCTGTAGCTAGTTTTATTCATCTTCTCTCATTGCTATTTACATCTCTAAACACTCACACAGTGCACTTATAAAATATTTAGACTGATAGTCATGTAGAAGTAATCATGTAGCCTCATTATCATGTAATCCTTGATTCTCAGCGTTTCTCCAAACTTTAAACGTCATGAGGATACAGACCTAGTTTTCCTTTATGTTTGGACTGAAATAACATTTTCCATAGAAAGCAGTTTCAGGGGAAAGTTAGAAATCCAACCTTGGCAGCCCCATTCCTGGTCCCAGCCAAGGCAGAGAAAGGGAGAGAGGAGGCAGTTCTCCTGAAATGACAGAAGCAGTTGCTCCTTTAACTCAGCTCAGACTTTCTCCAAGCTCCCCAAGCAGTTATTTTGTTAGAGTTTTTCCCAGAAGTCCAAATGGCAAGTAGGTCATCTGTCGCTGTTTGAAAGCCTTAAGTAGTGTAACCAACGTTAACTATGTATATTATCATCACCTTAAACTTAGAAAAACCGCCATGCAAAGTAATCCACATGCTCTTCCAACAGAAACAGGCATTTATTCCTTTGGATCTAACTTATCAGTCATACCATGAAAAAAGAAATGCGCGTAGTTGAAGAACTCATTCCAAATATTGACATTTTTCTTACACATTCCAAGGGGAATTTTTCCCCACAGCCTCCGAATCAATGGAATTTGCCTTATCAGAGCAGAAGGTTAGCTAGAAGATTATTTAAGTATTACGGTCACTTCTAGCCTGTAGCTAGTTTTATTCATCTTCTCTCATTGCTATTTACATCTCTAAACACTCATACAGTGCACTTATAAAATATTTAGACTGATAGTCATGTAGAAGTAAGCATGTAGCCTCATTATCATGTAATCCTTGATTCTCAGCGTTTCTCCAAACTTTAAACGTCATGAGGATACAGACCTAGTTTTCCTTTATGTTTGGGAAAATGTTAAGGGAAATAACTTCTGAAACTGGAAACCTTGTCATAAATTAGCCCCCCCCCCCCTCAATCTAAGTTAGAGATAAGGAGTCTAATGCCTGAGACCATTTTATAGAAAAAAGTCGGGGAGAGCAGAAAAGAATGTGAGGTCCACCAGAGTACGATTCCACAGCAGAGATAAATGGGGCTAAAGCCAGATCTAATCTGTTTCTCCTGATTCCTGAAGGTATTCTGACCCATCATAGAAGCAAGCCCATCAGAGTGCCTTTAACCTCCGTGCCGTTTAGTACTGGGCCTTTGCAAAGAATAGAAATGCATTCTCCAGGTTCTTCAGTCTAGAAAGGGTTCTTCTTCTACCCTCAGAAGAGACTCGAGTTATGCCTCCTCAAGTACTGAGATGGAGAGGGCATCGCTATTTGTCTCGCTTAACCTGCGTTTACTGAGAGCATGTGGCAGGTGTCGGCACTCTTGCTAGATGCTGTGCTGTTGAGGATGCACAAAAGAAGGCTGGTCTTGCTGATTAACAAAGCATCCATACAAGTTACAAACCTGTCACCCAGAGCACTTTCCCTAGAGCCCTGGAGAACCCTGATCTGAAAGGTAGTGACCTAGTAATCTCACCTAAGACTGTCATCATGAATTTAGTGCCAGTAGATCTTATTGAGGCCCCTGAAGCCATGAGTAACTTTAAGAGATTTGAAAATTCAGTTTAATAAAAAGTTAATAAAGGGACTTCCCTAGTGGCCCAGTGGCTAAGACTCTATGCTCCCAATGCAGAGGGCCTGGGTTCGATCCCTGGTCAGGGAACTAGATCCCAGTTCAGTTCAGTCACTCAGTTGTGTCCGACTCTTTGCGACCCCATGAACTGCAGCACTCCAGGCCTCCCTGTCCATCACCAACTCCCGGGGTCCACCCAAACCCATGTCCATTGAGTCGGTGATGCCATCCAACCATCTCATCTTCTGTCGTCCCCTTCTCCTCCTACTCTCAATCTTTCCCAGCATCAGGATCTTTTTAAATGAGTCAGCTCTTCGCATTAGGTGACCAAGTAGTGGAGCTTCAACTTCAGCATCAGTCCTTCCAATGAATATTCAGGACTGATTTCCTTTAGGATTGACAGATTAGATATCCTTGCAGTCCAAGGGACTCTCAAGAGTCTTCTCCAATACCACAGTTCAAAAGCATCAATTCTTCAACAGTCAGCTTTTTTTATAGTCCAACTCTCACATCCATACGTGACTACTGGAAAAACCATAGCTTTGACTAGATGGACCTTTGCTGGCAAACAATGCCTCTGCTTTTTAATATGCTGTCTAGGTCAGTCATAACTTTTCTTCCAAGGAGCAAGCATCTTTTAATTTCATGGCTGCAGTGACCATCTGCAGTGATTTTGGAGCCCCCCAAAACAAAGTCTGTCACTGTTTCCACTGTTTCCCCATCTATTTGCCATGAAGTGATGGGACCAGAT